CCTGATTCCAAATCTGGTCAGTGCTTACCATGAAAGTGGATGTATGAAAAGTTATACTAGCTTAATGAAAATCATCAGTAAAGGGAGAATGAGTCGGGCCACAAATCCAAAAAGCATTGATACAGACCCCCTTCCGAAAGCCCGCCAAATGGATGGTCAGCCATTGGTTCAGGTGTCGAATTCCTGGTCATCCATATTCATGAACTTTAGACCATAAAACCTGGCACCTCAGAACAAAGCAAGAGGAGAAGAGTAGCCCCTGGAGAAGAGCAGCCCACGAGAAGCCCTCCTGAAGCCTGCCAGTGAAGGCCTGCTACCCAACAGAGAACTGTAACCAAGACAAAGCCTTTCACCTTAAAGCTTCACAAGGAGAGAGAATCCAAGGGGCTCCACTTCAACAACCACTCCAAACGCCACACCTTCTTCAGTGCCATCATCCTATCAGCTCATCAGCCTCTGCAACCAACTGCCAAGACCCCCCCACTCTGCAACCAAATAAACCAACTTCCTTTCATTCTAACAACTTAAGCTGTTCTGTTAACCTGCTATATAACTTTAGGGTCATGTTTCCACAAACTGTGCTTGCTTTGCAGAACAATATTTCCCTTTTAAGGTTACTCATTTAAATGTGGTCATTGCATTTCCATAATTAGATTGTTTCTATTCCGTTATTTTGTGTTTGTTGTTTGTGTTAAATGTAATGTCTGTCTTATGTTAGTTGTAGTATTAGTTAGGAATAAATGCATGTCTTTTACATAACTTCAGCTTCCTTTCATTGAGTGCTCAGAATAGTCCCTGCCTCTGTGCGATCTTGCTACACACTCTGAAACCTCAAACTCGCCTGAAATATCGCGAGGCTCTCTTTCATCGGCCGTGAGAGGAGCTTCGCTACCGATCGTTTATATTACCTGGTGACGCAGCTCGGTGGACGAGCCTTCTAACCCAGGTTACTAAGTGATACTGGTAATTAGTGAATCCCATTTAAGTCTCACATTAACCCTCTCAAGGCAGGCGTTGCTGATTTGCAACAGTTAAAAACTAACTACCTTATTACCGCAGAAACATATTTTATGAGTTTTTTTTACTCAAAAGTACCACTGCAGGTCTTGGTTGTCCTTTAGCAACAAAAACTCAATTTGAGCCTGAAAGGGTTAACAGACTCACGGGATATCGCAATTGAGTTTGGAGGAACCAACCATTCGGCATAAAGATTAGGCAATAATCGTCATTAAATAATAATTAATTAAACTTTAATTAATTTCATACATATTGGTGGAAATAATAAAATTTACCTGAACTAATAAGTCCTACAACCATAATTACACATTACACTGCATCACTCTAATAAAATACCTGTTATGACAGAGCTGAAAACTGCATTAAAGCTGAAACCTGAAACAAATAATAATTCATTTATTTAATGCATTTTGTATTTTAAAACTGAACTAAATTTGACCATTTCTACTGTTACACAGAGCAGATTAAACTCTATGGCATTTGCATAAAGATCATTCTGCAGCAGTACGACTGAGGCTTATCGGAATGAAAATGTGATTTAATCACACAGAACTATGCTGAGATACATGTTAAAACCAGTCCTTCCAGTGACTCACCCAGTGCTGCTATCCTGGCAGTTGTACTGGCAGAATCAGTATCTGAGTGAACTTCACACCTGAACCCTCCTTTGTCTTCAGTCCTGACTTTCCTCAGTTTCATTGAGAAGTTTCCTTTGGGAATTTCCTCAGTGCAGAATTGAGCTCTTCCAGAGTATCTCCTATCCTGTGACTCTGGTCTGTTCTCTCCATCAGCATACAGAAGCACCATGATGTCACCATCATCCTCTGTCTTTTTCCATTCCACCTGAAGCTCTGTCACATTAACATGGGTGTCCACAGAGCAGCTGAGAGTCACATCCTCTCCAGCATGTGCATAGACAGGCTCATCTGCACCCGTCACCACCAGCCTGTCTGGAACAAGAACAGGAAGATTCACACAACCTGGCAACCTGACATCTGTGTATTTTCCCCTCCTATTTAAAGGGGAAACATATGTTTGGGGTTGTTTTCATTTCAACATGCATCATTTTTAAAACTTTGACACTTGGCATATGTGACATTTAATGAATGAAAGTGATCCATTTGGATTAATTAGACATGAAAAAAAATGAGTGAGATTAATTCAACTATATTCTGTTCTCAGAACACAAAGTCAATGCATCAACTTAAAAAGAGTGTTTCATTTTCAAAATACTCATTATATTTGGGTGTAACCACTGTACATGATTCAACTGAGCTCATTCAAAGTAACTTTTTTCAGTGTGGTTGATTGAAACAAAACCTTGGTCTGGATTTGTACTTTCTGGACCTGAACTTCCCACCTCTGTCTGCAATGCGTTACTTTTATGTGTAACTTCCCTGATAATACAGACAGTTAGACAAATGCGAATTAGATGGGATTTATTCACATTGTCTATATGCAAAATTGCAGTAATTAGATGCTGCTCTCACTATAAGAAATGATTAATGCATCAAAAAACATTACATTATAAACAACCTTTGAAGGTAATTTATAGAAAAATACAGTTTAATGACACATAATGAGGATTTTGCTACTAAATAATGGCAGTGGTGGTCTAATGGGTAAGGCTGTGTGTTTGTGATCGGAAGGTTGCTGGTTTCAGTCCCCAGCCAGCATGGTACCATTCCCATGCACTGCTCCCTGGGTGCTAAATAATAGTGGCTCATCGCTGTATTAAATGCTGTATTGTGGTGAGCCAACAATGGCATTTTTTCACTTCAGTAATTGCTTGGTATTTTCAGTGAAACTGAATGGGATTCAATGGACAATAAGTGATACTTGGATGTAAGTCTTACTGAAAGAACTGGAAGATGCGTTTCAGACCTATCAGTGATAGGTGAAAATTTGTGATATAGAAAGACCATATGAATAAGCATTTTTTTTTATAGTTTAAGCCCTAAAATACCCCTCCCACATGCTTTAAACCAGTGGTTCCCAACCTTTTTTGGCCTGTGACCCCATTTTCACATCACAAATTTCTGGCGACCCCATAGACATTTTTTTTCTAGAATTAGTTTTTGATCATGTTTGTTATACCGTGTTGCAAATACAGAGTAGTCAGATTAGTGCACAAAGTCACATTTTATTTTCCCTGATCACATGTACTGTACAGTTTGGCAAGCTTGTCTTTACAAGGCTGAAGGTGATCGCGATCATTTTATTTGAACTCATTTATTAGGGATGGGCCGATCCACATTTTTCAGTTCCGATCCGATACCGGTACAAGAGCTCTTTTTACTTTGTTATAATTTATATATTATTTTTTAAGCTAATAAATACAGATGTAAAAAATGTATAACAAAAATATTTAATTAGGCTACTACTAAAACATAACATACTGTTCCACCTCGTTTGTACGTCTTGTTTTAAGGGTTTTTGAAGCATTTGCAGTTCAATATGACTATCATCAAAACAAGTATACACAAGTGGCGAACACAATTTTTCTCCCATTGGCGTCAGCTCAGTTACACTTTGCTGCGATGGCGGCCCCTTCTTGTATCACAAGCTGCAGCGAGTTCGCAAGACAGTCCAGGTTAGTGGCTCCCAAATCATCCATTGCTTTTTTTTCGTCTCGCAGTTGCGTGCGCTTTAATTGGGATTAATTGTCCATTAAGCGCTATTCCCACCTCTCAAAACTTCTTTTTACAGAGATTGCAAATCGCTGTGCTACAGGTTTCTGTTAAAAGCGTAAAATACTCCCAGATCGTCACCTCTCACTTTACGCTCCTCGTACTGCGAAAGGTATGCGCATGTCACAGCAGGCGGAAGTCACTGTACTCACACCCACTGAGTAGCAATAAGGACTGAGGGGCGGCGTTGACACTCACTCGATTTGACTGCCGCAAAAAAACACATGCAAAATGGGAAAGAGCTGTCGTGTGATTGATTGTACAAATAGATTTAACACGAAATATGAGCTATCTTTTTAGAGATTGCCAAAAACTAAATAAGTAAGTATACGACGTGAATCCGGCACGCATGGCCGATACCCGATCCGTGCATCTATATTTATTTATGAACGTGATAGAATACATGCAGTTGTTTAAGACTGTATGTTGTGTTTTAATCATATTTTTTAAAAGAATAATAATTAGTTGAAAAAAATAATTTTTATCAGTGATTTTTTTATCAATTACTAGACATTTTAGGGGACCTCATTTGAATTCCAGGGGACCCCACATGGGGTCGCGACCCCAAGGTTGAAAAACACTGCTTTAAACACATGTAAACTTATTAAAACAACACATATATGTGGATGTCGGGTTAAGGATATGAGTAACATAATAATAATAATAATAATAATAATATGTAATGTGTACTGAATTACTATATTCTCAAATTACTTTTTGTAGTTTTGTGAAGAACACTATTTATTAAACAAACAAATCTGCATTGGTAGAATGAAAAATTAAAAATAAACTATTAGTTAAGAAATATTCCTTGGAACATCAAACTGTGGAAAACTGTGAATTTACAATATTTTCCTTGAGACTTGACTACAAACGCTCCTCAGAAGAAAATCTGATGGGACGAATTAAATAAACTTGATTGGCAGATTCAGATGGTGCAGGCTAAAGCTGACCAATTGGGGGGGGCAGAGCAGAAATTTGGGTGGGCATTGCCCCCCTGACCACTTCTAGATCCAGCTCCAAATTCTGAATGATCTGCCCGTCTCTATAGCTTATTATTCTGTAGATGAACACAAATATTCTTTAACCTTACAGACACCATAGAACATTGTATAGAAATGTTTTATTATATACATTTTATCATGTTCATTTCTGTAATACATATAAAATTGATGTGATTTCTTTTGATGCATGGCCCAAAATCCATGGAAAAAAAGGACTTAAATTCTCTAATGTAAACACTCCCAGGTAGAAGCCAGCATGAATAAAATACTGTAACCCTGCGAGATTCATCCCTTTCCAACTGTATCCCACCAGGGAGTTTAATAAACATCAGGACGTCAGCACCTGCTCTATCCCGTTTCTAACTGTATCCCACTCAGGAGTTTAATAAATGTCAGGACGTCAGCGTCTGCTCTCTCTCTTTCTAACTGTATCCCACCCTGGAGTTTAATGAACGGCAGGACGTCAGCGTCTGCTCTCTCTCTTTCTCCTGCACCCCACACACCTGACTATTTCAAACACAACACAGAGTACAGGCAGGAAGCTCCAGTTACACTTGGAATTTTGCTTGGATTTGGTCAAGTAAAGAAAACCAATGCAAATATAAAGGCACAACATACCTTTTAATGGTTAAATATAAATAGAATTGTCATTATTTTCAGATGTAATTTTATATTATGCTTAAATGAATTTCCATTTGGTTCATGCTGGCTTCTACCTGGGAGTATTTACACTAGAGCATTTGGGTCATGCATTGAAAGAAATCACATCAGTCTTATATGTAATACAGAAATGAACATAATAAAATGTACATAATGAAACATTTCTATACAATGTTCTATGGTGCCTGTAAGGTTAAAGAATTTTTTTGTTCATCTGCAGAATAATAAGCTATAGAGACAGACAGAGATAATTCAGAATTGGCAGTGGAACAACAATTGTGTATGAACGCAAAATTCTGAGGTATGCAGACATAGTAGCCAAGGCAGAACAATGAGGCTGGAGTACCCAGGTGTCCCAGTAGAGGCAGGGTGTAGAGGGTTTGTAGCCAAGGCAACAGCTAGGCTTGTGAAGGAGATGGGAGTACGAAGGCAGGCCTTCTGTCTAGGTGTCAGGTCACTATCAGAAGCTGCCGAACACAACAGTAACTGGATTTGGATGAAGAGAAAGGATCACAACTGGGCTGCAAAAACCCACAAAGGGGTAAAAGCAGAGGGGAGCGGACCTGAGGCACCAGGTGTCGCGGCTGAGCCCTGTAGGTGTCGTGGGACTATTAAAGAAACACAGATGAAGCAAGGTGCCCACCTGATGACCCCAATGAAGTTACAATCCCATCCCCCTGCAACACATCAAGAAAGTCGGATATTGGGATTGGTAACATCAAGTCCTATGAGTTCGACTGGCTCGTTTTCTGATGAAGTACACACATACTATTACTGAAACTGCCCAGATATGTTGTTGTAAAGGCCATCTTCGTAAACGGGATGCCGACGCGCATGCGCTTGGATCAGTGTCAGGAGCGTCTCCTTTGAGATTTCAGTGGTGGTTTTCTGATTGTGCTGCACCTGATCATCCTACCCAGCGCCGAGGGATCCTGACCAGTTACTCACCATACTCAGGGGTTCAGTATTGTGTGTCACTGATGAACTGTAAGTGACTGGTCCTGGACTGATTACATTCGATGCTGTAATATTGCAGTGCGGTCAACAGCTGAGTTGTTAGCGTGTAACTTTTGAGGAGATCTGCTATCGAGTGTATTGCAGGCAGATTTTCTGCATTCTGCGTTCATTGTTGTAATTGTGTATCTTGTATGTTAAATTTGTTTTGTTAGTCAGTTCTCGTTAGACTGCG